GCATGCAGACCCTGGGGCTCTTGTTCTATTACACTGCTTGTAGTTGGAAATCTACAAGGTATGCCACCCTTCTTTTCCAGGTAGCACCCCCAATTCCTCCTGGAAGAACAAGTTAATGGCCTCAGACTCTAATATTTGGCTGAGATCTGAAGCTGCAGGCACATCAAACATACACACATCCACAAAAATAAAAGATAAAACAATTTGCAAAGCTATGATGAATCCCCAAGTTGGTTTCATGAGGAAGCAATGAGATAAACATACACAATAGCACAAAAATATAGTACAAATAAGTACTATAAGCACATACAAATATAGTACACACAGGTGCATAGGATATAAGGGAAGTCAACTTTCTCTCTCTGTCCAGGCTGCAAAGATACCAATAAACCAGACATAGGAACAATATAGTTTTCTGTCTGAGTGGTAGGAAAGAAAGGAAAATGCATTTGTCAGGATCCTAGTTTTGTGCCAGGCACTGTGGTATGTGGTTTCGTGTATGCTAACTTCAAATATATAGTACTATTTAAGTCCCTTATTGAATACTCATAACAACCTTTCAGGTAGGCGTTATTATTCCTGCTTTACAGACTAACAGGATTCAAGGAAATATTAGATTCAAAGTTGAATAACTTGTCTAAGTTCACGCATCTAGTAAATGAGAGATCCAGAATACATTCCAAGTCTGTCAATAGGAAAGTAAAGGGGAGAAGGGCATTCTTGGGCATTCTCTGTACATACATTTTTATTTATTTTCCCCCAAAGCATCTTCAGTCTTCTAAGTTTTGCAGCTGGGGGTATTTTATATCGTGTTTTGGGTGAACCCTATCCACCTCACAGTGCAGGACCAATCCTCTCACCGAAGGGACACTTTAAGGAGTAAAGGGGAAAGGTTCAATACCAAGTTGGTCTCTTTGCCTGTCTCGGGGTGTGGGGCCAATGACTGATCCTTTTCTGTATTCCAGTTTCAGGGATGGTCCCTTGGTTACCTGTCCAGCCCTCTAGTCCTGCTGTGACAGCACCACTGCTTTGACCCCTTCCAGTCTTTTGGATGTTTAGAGCGCTTTCCCATTGTGGTCGTTCTTTACATCTCCTGCTCTTCTTTACATCTTCTGCCCTTCTAAGACTTCTAAATGTTTCTGCCCTTTACTTCTGAGGCCTCCCTGCATGGCTGATCCATCCTTGTGAATTTAGGGGGAATTAAGACCATCTTTAATCTGCTACATTTCTTTGCTAATCAAAGATTTGTTACCACACTTATTCAGTCTCAATCTCCATGCAACAATGACTCCCATTAACAAATATATTCAAATTGTTCCACCATCATTATTTCTTGGCTTATGAACATAGGGCTTCCTGGTATCCATCTTGTCCAAATTAAAGCCCATCTTTGGTTCAGGAATAATTATAGATGTAATTTACTGATCACTTTGCATACCTTATCTCAGTTCACCAACATAACAGATAGATGTTATTACCATATGTGTTCTAGAGAACAGGAAATTGAGATGTGGAATAGATTTATTTCTCTGGAGGCAGACATTGAGATAGATTAGCAATCAGCACCTTTGAAAGTAAGGGGGCAGAAGCACGACTGGGCAGAGGAAGAAGTCAAACTGTGATATAGGCCTGACATAACCTTGGCTGACAACCTGGAGCTCTGGGTCAAGTATTGCCCATCAGCATCCCATGGGAGCCCCAAATGGCCAGCCATTTTTACATTTTCCTTTCTCCATCACTGGATGCAGGCTGATTGGCAGTCACTAAAGAAGTTTATACCTGGAAGCTGTCTGCCAGCTGCATTCCCCACAGCCAAGAGCAAATCTGTCCTTGAAGGGGCACCCAAGCTGTACCTCTCTGTGTCTAGAATAAACTCTAAGAATCCAGGAATTTATTAAAGATTCTACAGCTAGTAAGTAGCAAAGATTTGGTACCAAGTCTTTTGTGACTCAAAAGCTGTGTCTCCCACCAATTCATTCTTGGTTTCTAAATATCCATTCAAATCAGCTATCAGAATCACTTTGGGAGATTTCTTTAAAATAGGGATATGTGGGCTCAATCCTGTGAGATTCTCATTCAGTGGACATAGATGGGATCCAGGAGTCCCACCCAGTGTATAAAAAGTGCCCAGACTGATTCTAAAGTACAAGCATATTTGGAAACCATTGCTATCAAGAATATTGATGAGGAGAGGACACCAAGCAGAAGAATGGAAAAAGTTTTAAATGCTGGACTACATATGTGGCAGAAGCTATGCAATGTTTTTTGGGGTGCTAAAATTTTTAAAACCAAGATTCATGGCTGATGTTGTCTAATGTCAGTGGTAAGTTCTCTCTAGGGTCCTGCATCTGTTTTGTGTTTGCTGTTTCTCTGACCCTCCTGACGTAAAAAAAAATATTGAAGAAAGTACAGCTGGGGCGCCTGGGTGGCTCAGTTGGTTAAGCAACTGCCTTCAGCTCAGGTCACGATCCTAGAGTCCCGGGATCGAGTCCCGCATCGGGCTCCCTGCTCAGCAGTGAGTCTGCTTCTCCCTCGGACCCTCCCCCCTCTCATGCTCTCTCTCTATATATATATCATTCTCTCTCTCAAATAAATAAATAAAATCTTAAAAAAAAAAAGAAAGTACAGCTGCTTCTTGATTCATGAAAGCAACTGAATCTGTAAGCGAACTGAAGAATTTGCTCTGTATGTAGCTCCTAAAATGTTTGGAAATGAATTTTAAGAAGCCCAATTCTACTTTGCTTTTTGTCTTTCACAATAAAATTGGAGATAGATTGATGTTTTTAAAACTGATCCTAAAACACAATGCAATCACTTTTTTAATGTAGTTAAATTCTTCAAAAATGTAGTAAATTCTTCAAATTTGCACATTTAAATAAAAAGTACAATTTTTTAATCAAACAGTACTTAATTATAATGGGACAAGGGTCAGAATAGAAACATAATTGCTAGATGAAGTAGAAATTTAAAGCAAAATTGACTTGTAACTGAGCTAACAAACTTTGGAGCCAGGCTTCTTTCATTTTTTTTTTTTTTTTTTTTTAATTAGAATGAAGACAGGAGTCAGATTCTGAGGGAGGGTTCTGTCTTCAGGGGGACTCTCAGGACTTCAGCTGTGGAGGAATAGAGAGCCAGTCATGGTGATAAAAGTAACAAAATAGATATCTTTAAAAATACACTAGATGTTACATAAGGTTTTTTTTTTCCAAATTTTGTCTCATTAGCACAGGCTTTTTTAATATAAAAAAATCCTTAAAACAGTAGATCAAAAAGGTTTTATGCTGAGATAAACAAAGTGTATATGACTTGTCTCTTGTTTAGGACAATATCCTGGGATCCTTGGCTATATGACTTTTGACTTCTGGGACCATTTTAAATGGATAATGAGCCTTGCCTCAGCTGCCACAGGAAGTTTGCATTCCACCTTGAGCACGGGAAAGAAAGTTGTGTAAATGCTGGGTAAATATTTCACAGGATGTTTACTCGGTAAGTAATGGATGTCCTAACATAGAGTTGCTCTGTGTTAAACTGTGGTGGTTGAAATACATGATATTTCAGTTCCAGCACTAAAGACAGATTATAGTACTGGTTCACTGAGCTCTTTAAAATCATTCATCTTGGGGCCTCCAACCATCACACAATGTCTGTTTGAATCAATAAATACAATGATAACCGTTTTTTTTAAACTTATGTACTTAGAACCATTGAAGTTTGGCCTTGGAAGAAAATCACCAGCCTCCAGGAGAAAGACTTACAAAATCAGCTTCTGTCAATGACCACAGATGTCACAAATCTAGATTTCTCATTTGGAATCTCAAATGGGTGAATTTAATTCGCTCCTATAATTAGAAGCACAGGGGCGCCTGGGTGGCTTAGTTGGTTAAGCGTCTGCCTTCGGCTCAGGTCATGATCCTGGAGTCCTGGGATTGAACCCCAGGTCCGGCTTCCTGCTTGGTGGTGAGTCTGCTTCTCCCTCTGCCCCTCCCCCCACTCATGCTCTCTCTCTCTCTCTCTCTCTCTCTCACTCTCTCTCAAATAAAAAAATAAAATCTTAAATATATATATACATATATATAAAAATATATAAAATTAGAAGCACAGCTAATTATTACAAGTGGCCTTGTAGAAAAGTCCACCTTGACCCTGAGCTATCTGATCTTGAACTTTTCCATTTCTTCCTTTTATTGCTTCTCTTCTATTTCATCCAGACAATACCCACATGAAAAATGTTGAAAATGAAAGTTTCCTTTAACTGATATTCAAGATGTCATTTAGCTCGGAACTTTATTATTTAGAGAGAGAACATGTAGCTAATATTAACGATGATCTTGTTCCACTGATATTTATCTACAGATTAAAGACACCTGCCCTTCCCTCATCTGTTGAGGAAGTGCTTCCTGTCACTCATATTCTCCATAACCTCAGATAAATCACTGGTATAATCACAATAAGCATTCTAATCTTGCCATGACATGATGTTTAGGAAGAAAAATCTAAAACCTTTTACATAAAAGAAGTTTCATAATCTCAAGTTATGAAAAGGGGGAAAAGGCATACTTACCCATAGGTACTTTTTACCATGAATTCCCTGACCTTAATTCGATTAAAATCTCAACCTAAAGATTGCAACAATATAGATTTCTTCAGAGTTTGATTTTTCATGTCACTCAACTTTGAGAAAAACCTCTATGTGGGGCAGAAACGGTGGTAAAGCGGAAGGAGAAGTTAAGGACTGAGCCGCTTTGCAGATCAGTGTTTGAAAGTGAACAGCCGATTTGACAAGAAGCAAAAACCACAGAATATAGTACCACATCGTCTTTCTGTTCACTTCGTTTCACAAACGATTCAGGCTCTTCCTACTGTCTTCTGCCACCTCCTTGCTCTTCTCTACTTATTTCACTGATGTCACTGAGGTAGGTAACCTGGTCCAATCCTGAAGAATTCAAGGGAGGAAGAGAAGTCTACTTGTGAAGTTTTTTTGTCCCTGATATGCACAGGAAATGAAGACATTGCCTGGCATGCTTGGAATTGGGAAATTGTGTTGGGTGTTCTTCCTAATCCCACATCTGGGCATCTGGAGTATCAACGGTAAGGCACCTATGTATATAATCTCTTGTGTTTTTTTTTTCCCCAGGGGGTGGTGGAGGGAATGTTTTCGCTTGCGATGTCAAGTGGATAATGGTGGATGAAACCATGTAGTGAGATTTGCTCACTGAGCACGTTCTAGAACATCAACCAAACAAGAACATGGTTTTCAAGTCATGGCTTGGCTGATTTTCTTAAAAAACATGTTCCGATGGTAAGGAAAGAGAATTGGGTGGATGTTATAAATAAGGTACAAATTTATCACTACTTCTAGCAAAAATGCTCCAGATGCCATCCTGATGATTGAATAGCTTGTCTTTTCGAGACGGAGGCAAGCAGAGTGCTGTAGTGTTCAGCTGGATGGGTGTTGGATAACCGGAGTTGTACCTGACTCTGTGGTTACTCTTGAGTAATGTCACTAAATAGAGTTGCCCTATTTGCCTCAGTGGGGTGTGTGCCTGGAGAACACCGAATGAGAAAATGCTCAGAAATCGAGTATTGGAGCATTCTGTCATTGTTTCTATTAGGCTAAAAGAGAATGGCTCCTACTTGGGTGTCATATGGCATAGAAAACAGCTTGAGGTCTGCCTAGATGATGTGTGGCCACCTCTGCAAAGATTTTATGAGGGCAAAAAAGCATTTCTTCCTTCCAGTGAGTTCATTTGCTCCTTTACATGGACACAGGGGCCCATATATTGAAAGACTGTAAACAGCTAGCAGAAGTTTCTGATTTTCTCAGGTCTGATTTCAAATCTCCTGCCTGGTTATCCCCACAAACACACATACTCTTACCAGTTTGTGTGCTGTGGTTTTAAATTGGAAAATATGGTGACTGAAATCCTCTAGAATGTCATCTTAAATTCTGGAACTGCTTGGTTTGGAATTTGTCTCCGTGGATGTTAGGATGACACACGACCAGGTGCAGAATAAAAATTCCCAGGCACCTAAGCATTGTTATGTGTGCAAGTAATTTGGTATTACATTGATGAGGTTCTTAGATGGCTGGCTGGGTTTTTCATTTTCCATCAGACGCCTAAAATCACACAGCTATAACTGGAGTCATATATTAAATAGAATTCATACCAATTTGAAGAGCACATAAACTATCCTCTGTGAAGTGAAGGAAAATAGTGTTCAGTGCTGGGGTGCCTGGGTGGCTTAGTCGGTGAAGCGTCTGCCTTCGGCTCAGGTCATGATCCCAGGGTCCTGGGATTGAGTCCAGCATCGGGCTCCCTGCTCAGCAGGAAGTCTGCTTCTCCCTGTCCCTCTGCCCCTTCCTTTGTTTGTGCTCTCTCTGTCAAATGAATAAATAAAATCTTAAAAAAAAAAAGAATGTTCAGTGCTATATCACACTGGGAGTGGGGTACAACTTCTATTCCCCTCCCAATGTGTTTACAAAGCTAGACTGGGGGCAAGGGTTAGGACTGGATTTGTTTACTGGCTCTGCCACTTACTGTGTGACCTTGGTGAAGATTCTTATCCTCTCTTAGCCTTAGTCTCCTCATTTGTAAGATAGAGATAATAATTATACCTAAAATATCGGCCTATTTCGAAGACTATAAATGTAATAATATGGGTGAAGTACCTGGTATAATAAGTGCACGTAATAAAAGCCAGTAAATGTTAATGGTGTTTTGCTGATATTATTTTCACCAAGCACCCCCCACAACATTCATTTAAATGGGAAATAAGTGTTAATGTTATCGTTTTAAATAGTTGAGCTTTTAAAGCTTAAAAAAAGTGAATAAATAAAATACACTGCATAATATATTCGACCACAACTATAGAGAATCAAATTATTTGGAAAATGAAATGGAAGGCCTCAGAGTGCCAACCAGTTTTACTGTAAAGCAGTTGATAGATTGAAGCATTACTTGCATTAAATTTAAGATATAGGTTGAGATAAATGTTTAGTGAGAATTGTTCTCCCAGACAGAGCTGATGGCTCCATTCCTTAAAACCACATTAATTTTAACCTATTTATCTTGGGGATTTTCTATGATTTACTAAATTACTGAGTTCTTTACACCGGCATGGTTTCAAAATGCCTAAATATTTTTTTTTAATTTAGAATTTAATTTTTCTTTAATTTTTATGAATTTCTTTCCCTCAACTTAAAAGCAATGGGAGATCTGTGTGCCTCTTCTCAGGAATGAGGCTGCATCTACCATAAGGTTGGAAAAAAATGTTATATTCTCTATAAACTTCTTGTTTAAGGTCCTCCTTTATAATAAAATTATGCTTGCTTGCTTTTTGTGTTTCTCAAAAAAAAAAAAAAATAGAGGGAAATCTGCCCCTTGGTATCTGGCTATGATTTCGATCTCTGTCCTGATGAAAGGAATAAAGGCATCAGCACCTTCCTTTCATGCACAGATGGGCAGATTATACTGGGAAGAACGAGGCTGCAAGTGGAGATGCATCACCAGGGAGCAGCTCCCAGCTGCAAGGCTTTGGACCACTTGTTCAGTTGAGGATCAACCAAGGATTCCGTCTTCAAGCAGGCAGGAGTCCTGCAGTTAATGTCTGGGTACCACTTGGCACTATATATGATCTGAAATGAAGACAGTAGGAAATCTTTGCTGCTTATTGTGATAAAAATAAATAAATCCTAATCTGATCTAGTACCAGTGGCCACTTATGGTTTGGCTCCATCAAGAACACATTAGTTAGGTCTGAGTCTCCATTTGGCACTTGTCTATGTCCTCTTTCTCCGTCACTATGATAGTTGAGTATGGTCCATGGATCCATACCCCACATTCCACTCAGATTGTCCCTTCACTGGGAACTGGCCATATCCTTGGGTCAGAGCAAAAACAGGGCAGAAAGTGCTCTGCACCTATCATTTTTTGAAGTTCCTGTTTGATAACACAGTGTCTTTATCAGGCTTATTACCATGGCTCTAGCTATTTGTTCCTATTGAAATGTGTACCTGGTGTGCTGGGAGTAGAACTCATTCTTCTGCCAAATGCTTGTGTATTGTTATTACCAAAATGCCTGCCACAAAATATGATTACTTTTTATGTAAATGTCTAGGAAAATATTCTGCAGCTAAAGGACTTCCTGGATTAAGGCATGAAAAGATTAACCCATGTGCTGATAAGAGCCTTGAATAGATTTTCCTAACCCTGAAAAGCTCTTTAATTAATTGTTGCTTCCTCTGTCCCACTATCATAATTTCCTCTGTTGTAGTGTTGAAGTCAAATGCTGCTTATCTTGCTTTGCTGGGGCTTTCCTATTTAATTTTCATTATTTGTGAGTTTCATCTTTACTTACGAGTTCCAAATTGTTGAAGGAAAAATGTTCACAGGTGTTCATAATCAGGTCGCCAAATTAAATCAATCTTTTGCTGTGTTTCTTGGAAAGGCAGTGGCAGAGTGGTTAGGATCAGGGACTCTAGAGCCAGACCGCCTGGATTACTGTCCCCTCTGCCATTTACTGTGACCGTAACCTCTCTGGTTCTGTTTCCTCATCTCAACAACGGGGACAATATTGACACTGATCTTATAGGGTTGCTGTAGTAAGTGAATTAATTCTATACAACACTTAGAACACATTAATTTTAACCTTTATATCTTGAGGATTTCCTATGATTTACTTGATGCATCATTAAGTGCTGTGTCACTTTAGCTAATAATGTTCTTTTAGTCCAAAATTTAATTAGCTTCATAGTTCCCTTCAAGTAGGCTTGGGAGGCCATCTCTTGTTTGGGGTTGAGAAAAGTTGTCTATAAATAACTCTTGATATCATTATCTACAATCATCCACAGTTACCAAGAAATAACAAAGCTTTGGTCGTCATGTGACTCCAGTGATATTGCCTTTGTGAGCTCTTCTATTGTATGCACTTTGCTTCACTTTTCTAATAGTCTCCATTCCCTTACCTCAAAATAAGCTCAGTCTTACCCACCTATCCTTTCATGGTCATGGCCTCTGATTTACATGCTTATCTCTACGGAAGCAATTATGGTGTGCTTGCACCTGCATGTGCAGGGGTATCATTCTCAAATGCTCAGAATCTAAACTTGTCTAAGTTTAGGCTCACTTTGAACAGAGTCCAGGGGAGTGTTGGAACGGCCATCTAGGCCAGTCATAGGGAAACTTCAAGTTTAGCTGGTAGAGCTAACTTCTCCTTTTCTCCTTCCTGTTAGCCATATTTATCTTGTGAACACAACCTGGAACTCACAAATGTCAACAGCAGCTCATTGTCCAGAAGTGGTTATAAGGTAGGCTGTGGCACTTAGGTTCTAGCTGGGTAGTTGTGGCCTTATTTAATTTTCTTCTACCATTTAGAAGAGGAGAATTAATATTGGGGGAGAGTTGGCGGTTTCTGCTCACATGGATATTGTTAATTATCTTCTAGGGCTTTGAAAATGCCAGTGACTCTCAGTGTGATCTCTGTGGTAGAGTGCATTAGGAAGGGGAAGAAGTACCTGGGAGAGAAGTAGAGGCAGATGTTCCCTGTGTCTTTACAGTAACACAGAACCCATGCTTACCCTGAGCATCCCAAGTAACCACATTATCACTGAAGGCAATATTTAGAAATACTTACGTTGATTTCTGATGCAATGACAAAGTCTCTCTTTGATGCTACTGGCCACAGCTTCTAAGGTATGCTGTAGGCTTTTTCTGTGCTGCTTTTCTTCCAGAAGGCACTGTGATCAAGGTAGAGGGCCTAGCATTTCTGAAGGATAGGGCCTCCCAGGAGCAGGTGGTCAAAGTCTTCTGGAACTATTGTCTAAATTGTCAATATGAATCATTGTTCTTTAGGGCTCACTAAACTGGCTAAAAACGTTTGCTACTCCACAGAGAGAATTGCAGAATTGGCCAACCAACACTCTACTAGATACTCATTTTTGTCAAATGGGGTGGGCAGAACTCTGCAGAAATGGAACACGTGTGAATCCTTTGGCTGTGGTCAGTGACCAGTAGGGTAGAACCACAAGGGGACATTTGTCATTTGGTAGAGATGTAATGGAGAAGTTACTGAAAGAAAGCTTGGAAAAG